TGTACATACACATACACATACATGTACATACACATGTACATACACATGTACATACATGTACATACACATGTACATACACATACACATGTACATACACATACACATGCACATACACATGCACATACACATGTACATACCACATACACATGTACATACACATGTACATACACATACACATGCACATACACATGCACATACACAACATACATGTACATACACATGCAGATACACATGCACATACACATGTACATACACATGTACATACACATACACATGTACATACACATACACATGCACATACACATGTACATACACATGTACATACACATGTACATACACATGTACATACACATACACATGCAGATACACATGCACATACACATGTACATACACATACACATGTACATACACACATACACATGTACATACACACATACATGTACATACACATACACATGTACATACATGTACATACACATGTACATACACATGTACACATACACATGTACATACACATACACATCACACACATACACATGCACATACACATGTACATACATACACATGTACATACACATACACATGTACATACACATGTACATACACATACACACATACACATGCCACATACATACACATGTACATACACATACACATGCACATACACATACACATGTACATACATACACATGTACATACACACATACACATGACATACATACACACATGTAATACATACACATACATGTACATACACATGTACATACACATGTACATACACATGTACATACAAATGCACATACACATGTACATACACATGTACATACACATGTACATACACATGTACATACACATACATACACATGTACATACATACACATGCACATACACATGTACATACATACACATGTACATACACATGTACATACACATGTACATACACATGTACATACACATACATACACATGTACATAAACATACACATGTACATACACATACACATGTACATACACATGTACATACACATGTACATACACATGTACATACATACACATGTACATACACATACACATACACATGTACATACACATACACATGTACATACACATGCACCTCAGTATCCAGGTTCTGTCAGTGTTCGTGTTACTGTGTTTACATGAGCTCTGAGAAACCAGGACACTTCATATCTGTGTGTACATGATCAAATGGAGTGTCCCGATTTCTTGACATAATCTTACAAATGCACAAGCGCAAAAATTAACTTAAATCAATTTCATAAATCAGGAAAAATACAAACCGTGAGCTCCTTTAGCATAAGAAGCTAAGGAGCTATGAGATCTCCCACAATCCACTGCACACATCAAACCAACAGATTCTTCATTCAAATCTTCTAAAACATATAAACCAGAAATACTATAGATCCACATCAGCCCGTTTGATCAGATCATTCAGCTCTGATCACATTTGTTTATGTTTTACAGAAACAAAACTTAAGACCGTGTCGCTAATTAGCATAAACTGTTAGCGCTGATAAAAACAGCTGCTCCTTGTGCCACTGATGTGATCAGATTCTTTTGGACTAAATGACACGAGATTCTTTTGGAACTAAAGACACGACTTGTTGATTAGTCAGTGGTGGGCCGTCAGGGCCAGCAAGGCCTTCTCTGCTGGCCTAAACATGCTCAAGAAAAGTAAATTTATGTTATTTTATTTTCATAAATATGTAAACAAAATGATTCTCTATTCTCTGTATTCTTTACGTCATATTATTTCCACTTAGTCGAGTGGCTTCCAATAGTGTTTTTTTATGGTAGAGTTTTTAACCAATTATATTTCAGCTAGCTTGTGTTGTCAAGTAAATTAAATTTGCTTGAGACCTTCAGAATAAACAGAGCAGGCCCCTGTGCACTGTAAGTGAACGGGCACAGTCAGGTTGCAATAGCCAATCAGATCTCGATTCTGCGTACCAAGGCTAGCTAGAAGGTCTTACGCTGAACTCGACCCGTGCGCGTTCGGTGATTGGATTAGCACTTGCTAGGGCCTGACAAGCGGCAATCTGGAGAATTGAAATAAACACGGAAATTCAATTGCAGTTTATGAGAAGAGACTTGCGTTGAAGGAACTGTTTGATCACATATTGGAGCACCATGATGAGTATGATCAGGACACTGTGCTTTCTGCCGATGGATTTACTGCACGTCTGGGTGATTTTGAGTTTTGTTTTTTGCTCAACATATTCAATGGGATTTTTGAGTATGCTGATGTGCTTTTTGGAATACTTCAGACAAAATCACTGGATGTGCAATTTTGCATGGCAAGGGTGAACGAATTTTGTGACACAGTTGAGCGAGCAAGGGACAAATTCAGTGAAATATACGAAGAAACAGTGCGCATCTCAGGTGGTCCAAGCGCGCGCAGAGGCCAGGGCGCGACACAAGACGACCTGCGCGCACACTACCAACGTCTCCACACCAGCATTCTGGACAACATTCTTTCCCAG